ATGGCCTCAAATAAAGAATGGATAGAGAAAATGTGGTACATTTTACACAATGAAGTAGTACTACTCAGCAGAAAAAAACAATGGAATCTTGAAATTCGCAGGCAAATAGAAGGAACTAGAAGAAATCATCCTGAGTGAGGTAACCCAATCACAAAAAGATAAACATGGTATGTACTCACTCATTTTTGATTTTTAGACATAGAGCAAAGGATCACTAGTCTACAGTCCACACTGCCAGAGGAGCTAGGAAAGAAGGAGGATCCCAAGAGAAAATTGCATAGTCCCTTGAAGAAGGGGATAGGGACAAGAACCCCTGACCAAATGGGAGCCCAGGGGCATGGAGAGGAAGGAGAGCCTTCATCCTGTTTGAAGCAGAAACAGTCACCCACAGCTAAGCACTGAACCTTACTGCTGGAATTAAGTTGTGGAGAGGGAGGAGGGATGAGCAACGGAGCCAAGACGGGGCTGGAGAGTCCTGCAGAAACAGTGTAACTGACCTTCTAATAGCATGGAGACCCTTGTTATAAAGCTGGGGAACCAGCATTGGACTAAACCAAGCACTCTGAATGTGGGTGCCAGCTAGGAGGTCAAGACAATCTATGGGACCTGTAACAGTGAAGCCAGTCTTTATCCCTAGAGCACAAATGGACTTTGGGAGCACATTCCCTATGGAGGGATACTATTGTAACCCAGATACAGTAAGGAGGTCCTAAGCCTTCCCCCAGAGGATATGACAGACTTTGAAGGTAAGTTGTGGGGGGCCTCACTATCCCTGAGGAGGAGTTGGGGAGTGGGTTTGTTGGTGTTGCTGGGGAACATGGGAGGATGAGAGGGCAAGGGAATGGGGGGATGGATATGTTAATATGAGTAGTAATTAAAAAATTTAAATAAAATTATTATGTAAAAATCCTGGCTAAAAGATTAATAACCAAAACCTCTACAAACACACACACACACACACACACACACACACACACACACACTCATATAATTCACACAATTTTAGAAAGAAAATATCCTTGCACATTAGGTTGAGAATTACATTTAACTGAGAAAGCCTGCATGAAATTAATTTTCACCTTATTTAATAATGATTTTTTTCTATTTTTGCAATGGAAATATCTGTATATTCCATATTGATTAAATAGAGTTACTTTAAAAATCCTATCTGTGAAGTTTTTGTCCATATCAGTGTTATGTGAATTTATGTAGAAAGTATTTTATTTCTGCACAGTGACTGTTGGGATTTTCATCTGACGATACTCCTCTCTTTTAGTCATAATTGTCTAATTAGACTTCTGGTTGGAAATTTCCCCCTAATAATACTGCAGGCAGCTTATTAAATATTGACATTTTATTAATTTCCCTTTGTTAACTGACTTAGTCATCATTGTTGAAACACCTATTTTATGTCAAAAAAGGAAAGATACATAATGAAATCGCTTCCTACAAACACAAAACATCTAATTTTCCAAACTTTCTTAACTTTTCAATGGGCTCTCTGGCTAGTAAAATAAAATCTCATAGAGACAGAATGAAACCCATTTATAAATAATATATATTTTGTCTTGTTTTATGTAAAAGAAAGTTGAAGTAGTGTTTTATTTGTGTGTGGGCAAATAGGCCATCTAATTTTATTCTTTTAGGTAGTCATTCCAGAAGCAAGGATGAAGGAAGAGTTAGGCTCCTGAAATATAACTACATCATTAATTTTGCTACCATAGTGTCTGGTAATATTGTGTTAGGGTAATTCTCTGTCACTGGTAGATATGAATGAATGAAATATTTTAAAGACGTGCATGGAAATATCTAAGATAGATGGCAACTTTGATATATTACCAACTGCATTTCCTTTAGCTTATATTCAGTATAAATACTATAAAGTAGTTTCACAAAATGAAGTTTCAAATACTTGAATTCAGAGACATTATGCATACAACCAGATCAAAAATTGGGGTTGATATTTTTGTAGCTTATTTATTCAACATCCAATTCGTTTAAATTAGGGGCACATGAAGTTCAAATTATTTTTTAAATGCTGCATTAGAAAGACAGGTCAATTGCTTGAACATGTGCAAAGGTTAAATTTTTCTTTACATTTCAACATATTTCAAACAATGCCTTCTGTCATGTTGAACATTTAACATTTAGGACTATACATCTAAAGTAAGAAATATTTGTCACCTTAAATTGAGCAACAACAGTGAAAAAGTCAGAAATATGCATTCCAATCATTGCCAGATTCAGTTATGTTTGAATCCTACTATCTTGTTTAGAGGTCTGGGTTTTCATTATCTTTGTACAGTAGTAAGGCCAGGAAGAGGCCAAATTATATTTTGTGAGGGAAAGCGCAGTTTCTAGGGGCTCTGCACTTATAAATTAATTGAATCTCAAGGACTTCAATGTCTAATTTCATTTTGAGGATTAGAATTTCAATATATAAGGAAGAAACCATGGTAATATTCATATGTTATAATTTTTAAAGTTTAATGGTTGATAAAATATTGATGAGGTAGAAATAAAACAGTTTATTATAAAGGAAGAATCTTTCAAAATTACTTTTTTTTCCTGGTGTCTTCCAGACTGAAAACAAGAAGCACTTCCTTGGCTTTATTTCTCTAGTGAAATGTTGTTATAGGCAATATTTCACACTGGCAGCGAAAAGCTCTGAGGCAGTCTACTATATTCATCTTGTCTAATCAGTGTACAATTAGCAATGTCCTATGGCTTAGGTCTTTAAAAGATAATGTGGCTATTTCCAAGAAAGCACTTAAGCTATAAAAAAATTTGAACGAGTTAAGATGAAAAGTAAAAGTAAATATATATATTTAAAGGGCCAACTTAACATCATTAGTGTGTATTCAGCACCTCAGTGCCCACAAAAATTTAATAGATTTTTCAAGAAATGTTCATCTGTATACTTTTGTGTGTGTGCATGTCATATAATATCCTTCAATAATTATACCAACACCCAATACATAATAAAATACTGTGTTATCTAGTATCTTGTTTTGTTACTTTTGTCACATCCTTTTACCAAACATGATGTTTGAGTTTTAAGTGCAGGAATGCAATGCTTCAACATATAGTAAAAACATAAATGCTTTAATATGTAAAATTATACATTTTTCCAATTTTGAGTTCTATCATTTACTTGTCGTAGCTACTGCCACTAAAATATACCTTTAATACTATACTAAATGGGGCTATACAGATTTTAATGTTTAATGATAGTAACCATATTTTATATTACTTACACTTTTATACCTTTTGATTAGAGTATATATTCAACTACTTTGCATGTTTATATATTATGGATTTTCTTCTGTAGCAAAATTAACTCACAGCAGCTGGTACTGCATGTACAATATTTTGGGGAAATATTATGTGAATATTCCCCTTGATAGATAATTAATTTTCAAATGTTTCCCACATTTTAAAAAGTGCCATTTCCAGAATCATTTATCTAAGTTTTGCTGAAATACAGTTAAATCATTTCCTATTGCTGATTATACTTTACATAACATAGTTTACATTTTTTGCCTATTTGTCCTTATATAGAGGTCAAATTTTAATATTTAAGTATATTGTCATTTTACTGTGCAATAGCATATGTTTGTGTCTTATGTAACACAAAATATGTGTTACAATCTGTTGAAAATTATTCCTTCATTATGAAACAGAGATTCAAAAAGAAGTATTACATTAAAAACATTTAAATGAGTTAATTTTCTTTATTTTTTTGCTTAACAGCCCTTTCAACCAAATTTATACATATATTCAATGTACTGTGATCATGTTAATACCATTTTTCAATCTTATCCCAAAAGCACCTACTATTTTTATGCATTCCTTAACTATAAAATTTACTTTGGCAGTCTCTCTGCACATGTACTGAAGGCCATTTGCTGAGCAGGGGCAATTTAGCAATGGCATCACCACTTCAAAAATAGACACAACCTCTGGCAAAACAAGTTGCAAATTTGGAAATTGGCGATGGGATAAATGAAAATGTGTGGTTGTATTGATCGGTGTATAATTTCCCCAAGTAGAATAGTTCAATGGCTGAGTAATTTTGTACCCCTTAATCAGGGTTAAAAAAATGAATATATATAATATAATATAATATAATATAATATAATATAATATAATATATCCTGACTGTTTGACTGTTTGAACTTCAACAAATCCTGAAATAACTCAAGTATTGTATTCACATTTAAATTTAGGGAATTCATTTTTGTAAACCTGAAGAGGCAGAGGAGTAGACATTTGGATTTTAGCTAAAAAATGAAAAAGAAGCAGCAGCAACAACAGCAGAGCATCATAGTAAAGGAAACTAGAGTTGCAGTAACAAAAGGGAAAATATTTTGAATGTTTATAGTGCTCTGTTATATGATAATGTGATGTCATAATAATTAGGGGAAAGGATATGGATCTCATCTTTCCATTTGGTATTATTATGGAATTTCCCAACAGTGGAGCAGAATTACATATGTAAATGACCTTCAATAGGAACTGAGGCTGTAAAATTTGTAGATATTTCCAGAATTTTTATTAGGGTCCAAGAAGACTTGCTGGTAATTCACTCATCACTTAGTTACTTACTCATTTTTCCATTTCTACCAGTAGTTATTGCTATATATGCTTCAGAATCATAGAAGACTGTCAGAAAATATAGGTATGAAGGAATAATTATCGATTAACTCTATAATATGTACATCAAATTTTGAATTCTATGCATATATTTAAAAGGAAATGTAAAATATTAAACATTTGTTTTTAAAAATAAGTGTTACTTTTCTTCTGAGATGGTATAGAGGGTTGTCTGGCCTAATGCACATCAACATAGAATAAACTGCACAAGAATATTTAAGTTTGAAAAAAGTTCATTATAAAATGGAAGTGACTGCCTTCTCAATATGAGGATGAATCACTTCCAAATTTGTGAGTTAACCAAAATGCAAGAAAATAAATCACTTAGATGATAACACATGGTCCTACTTTTGTAAAATTAACTTTCTCAATGCTGCAATCACCTCCTTGTTCCTAAGGCTGTATATCAGAGGATTGAACATGGGAGTCACAATTGTGTAGAACAGGGAGAGCAGTTTGTCAGTTCCTGGAGAATGCATGGACTTTGGCCTTAAATAGGTAATGGCACCAGACCCATAAAACAAAACCACCACCAGCAAATGAGAAGAGCATGTTGAGAAGGCTTTTGCTCGCCCTTTGGCTGTTGGCAACCTCAGGATGGTGGCGATGATTTTACTGTAGGATGTAAGCACTAGTATAAAAGGCAGTGCTGCCACCACCATAACAACCACATAGACAGACAGTTCATGCCCTAAAGTGTCCCCACATGCCAGCTTGAGAATGGGTGGTATATCACAGAAGAAGTGGTCTATTTTATTAGAATTGCAGAATTTCACAGAGAATATCCAAGAGGTTTGCCCAATCTGGATTGGGATGCCAATGAGCCAGGAGCCTGTGGCCAGCTGAGTGCATTTTCTGGGGTTCATGACCAGAGGATAGTGCAGAGGGTTGCAGATGGCCACATAGTGGTCATAGGACATCACAGCTAAGAGAAAACACTCATTAGTTCCCAACATAAGAAAGAAGCACATCTGCACAGCACAAGCCAGCACAGAGATGTTTCTATCCCGTGTCCAAATGTTGAACAGAATTCTTGGGACAGTAACTGATACATAACAGATTTCCAGGGAAGAAAAATTTGCAAGGAAAAAGTACATGGGTTTCTGCAGTGTAGGGTCAAGTCTAGTTATTAGTATTATGAGGCAATTACCAATGAGGATAATCATGTAAATGATGGAGAACAATGCAGACAGAATCCCTTGGAGTTTGGGAAGATCCTCGAATCCCAGGAGGACAAATTGCATTACTGTGGAAATGTTGGTTTCTGCTACATACTCCTCATGTTTCATCTGTGGGAGTGATTTAGTCAGTCTGAGCCATGTCCAACTTAACTTTGATTCATTTTCTACAATCCAAGAATAGCGTTCATTCTTCATTTCTCCCTTCTCTATAAGAATTTGTTACTATTAATAAGTGTCTTTTCAAAAATCGTATTTCATTCTTCTTGAGAAATTACATTAAAATTGTTCTCATAAAAATTCTTTTATTCATAGTGTTCATTTAAAATCACTATTATTTGTAATCTGAAATATGTTCAATACAGGTTCCTTGATTTTATGCTCATTATTCAAATATGTTTCCAGTGAATCTCAGCTTGTGTTTATTTTACAACCAAATATATCATTTTTAACTAAAATTATTCAGTGATAAATACAATATCTATACATCTAGCTTTATTAGTTCTTAAAAATTAATAGTAAGGAAGAGAGTACAATAAAATACTTAAATGCCAATGTAAAATCTGCAAAATCAGCTTTCAAATTATTTTTAGATTTTACAGTGAGTAGTGATAATGGCTGAGGTGTTATAAGGCTCAGCAGTAACTCTAAGGGAAAGTTGCACACTCAAATTACATGTTTACTTACTTCATGAAGATTGCCACCTGCTACTTGCATTTGTGACTGTCCCAAATCTCTCATAATTCATTAATTACTGCTAATACAATTCAATGCATTCATTGTTTTCCACTCTGTGTTGTTTTGTTGAAAAATCATCTTTCATGGTAGGATTATATATTTTCATTTCCTTATATCCAAACCTATATGATAAGGGTAATAAATAGTATTATCCAGGCTTAATGTGTGCTAAAAACATTTGACAAATGTAGTTTAGTACCTTATTGGAAAATAATTGTTAAGTCTAAGTGCCTGCTTACAGTTTATCCCTAAGGTGTATGATGTGGCTTCTGCTAGAATTCAGAACCTCTCATAGCTATTGACAGTTTTGAAATTTGTGTCTGTGATTATTAAATGTGTAGGAGTCTGGAAGAATGATATTATTTCCATTATCTCTTTCAGAAACAATATTCCTATTATTATTTTGGTAAGAACATTATTGTGACTTATTATCTTATAAATGATATGAAGAGAAAATGGACTAATTCACTGCAAGAGAGTCACATAGATAATCATTTGCTAAGAAAAGTAAGTCTAGGAAGTGATCTAGATTCAAGCATCAATCAGAAGTTAAATAAGTGTTTATTGTGCTATTGCATTTACAATACTGTAAGAAAATAGTTCCTTAAAATATCTATAGTCTTCCATTAGCATGCAATGATACTGATTAAAGACTGATGCTAAACATTGTAGAAAACAATGTAAACTGTTTCAAAGAAGAGAACATTGTAGAACTTATGAGAATTTGGTAGATCCAGGACTTCAGGAAGAGAATGTAAGGTTCATTATCAGATACTCAATTCTAGTCCGAAGTATAAATGGTTTTTATGCTACCCTACATATAGGAAATTATATGTTACTCTCGGCTAAAGTGAACCATATAGGAAATGTGTCAATATATTCGACGTAACATTTAAACTTACTTCAGGAAAGAACTTTAACCAAATTTTAATGGTATAGAGTAACATACATCAGTCCCACAACATGGTACCAATAAACTTTGAGAACTGCATTGTAACAAGTAAAAATAAATGAAAAATGAGACTAAGAGAAATGGATGTCAACTCTCTCTCTCTGACTCTATAATCCACACAGAGTATTATAACTGAATTACTAAGATAATCATGTTTATGGATTGTAACACAACTATGATCTGATTTAGACTATGACATATTCAAACATGCCCAATGTGTCCTACTCTATCCTACAATATTTTAGTTTAATTTCATTCATGTATTCATTCCAATTTATTTCAGTCTCAAGCATAATGCAGAAAAATGAACTCAAACAAACAAGGTAGCCCTTTGTTAGTAGGTGGATGAAGTGGGAACCCAAGTCAGAAACATGCAATATCTATCTTGTTATTAATTAAGTAAAGATTATGCTCTGCTCAAATGCTGTCTTCAGCATATGATTAACTCAGTACTCTATTAATACATGTTATTGTTTATGTGATTATGAAAATGACACTAATTTTACTATCTGTGCTCACTATATAATAAAGTTATTTGCCTTTTGACATCTTTGATCTCATAATAATTATATCAGAATATTATTGAAATTTATGTATCCTGTATGTGGAATTTTAAAAGAAAATCGAACAATCAATATTTTCAGATATTCTATTACTATAGATTATTTACTGATAATAAACATACATGCATTTGTAAGCATAAATTGTAATATACAAAGTAATCAATGCTAAATTATATGAAGCAAAATAAATAAAGTACATACCTTTATTGGATTCTATAAAATGATAGAAGTTTAAAAATTAAATCATATTAGTTATTTAATTCTTTTCAGAGTCCATCAACATCACAACATATTCTAGTGTCACATCTAAGAGTGTTCCTTAAGTTCTAAAGGATCTCTACCCTGGGGAACACTTTCCTATTTTCTTTTATAATTGGAATGAGCTAGTTAGTTTGACACTCATAGGGTTTGATGCAACAACCAAAATAGCATATGTATGTGCCTTCTTCTTCTTCTCCTTCTTCTTCTCATTTTCCTCTTTCTCCTCCTCCTCCTCCTCCTCCTCCTCCTCCTCCTCCTCCTTCTGCTCCTCCTCCCTTCTCCTCCTCCTGCTCCTTCTCTTTGCTCCTCCTCTTTCATCCTCCTCCTGCTCTCCTACTAATCCTCTTATTGGTTTACAAATTATCAAGCTCTCATGGTTTTTTGGTGATTATTTTGAAACAAGCTTTAAAACTATTGGTATATTGGAACAGCATTATTTCCTATTAAAAAACTAAATGCTCTTTATAATGAGATAAAAGACAATGTTTTGACCCCAAACAATTATTCTTTTTTTTTTATTGGTAGCTGTGCTTCTTGCATTCTATGACAGTTTGGGCATTTGAACAGTCATTA